GCACCCTTGTATCAAATGTCGCCCTCACTTTCGAACAGAATGACGGGAAATGCCGGTCGTGACGTGTGTGGGAGGGCGTTCGAACCGCGCTGTAGTTATGCTTATTCAGGTCAGTTTTCTTGCGAAATAAAGCACTCGGAGTCGCAGTTCGTGGTGCACTGTATAGCTTTATTTATCAAGTGTATGACAGTAATATGTCATGTAAAATAGTGGTGTATTGTTAGTGTAGGAAACGCCGTTACATGGTGACCTCTCACAAGAGGGCGTCCATAATTATCGTTATTTTACATGTCGTGACGTAACTCTGATTAAATATCGAAAGCTTTACTTTTCATTCGTATGTCAGCTGTGTGCATGATCCTTGCTTCTTTGTTGTTTAGATGATGGTACAAGATGGCAACAGCTGTGGCTGACTTTTGCATATTTAGACAATTACAAATTCATCCGAAGTTAGGGGTCGTCCGAAGTTACAGCACCCCGCGTTAACCAACACGGATTTCTCTGTCATTGCTATGTGCCACAGAAAGCATGGGACAGACACTGAGACAAAGGTCTAAAGTCTAAATATCACATGTACAAGTGTACAAGTGGAAGCGATAGCTACCTTGTACTTTGTAGAAACAATTGAAATTGTATACACATCCTGATCATAAACCAAGTACTGCCCTTCATATGTCAAAAATATAATTCTACGTGTACAGGATTGCGGCCTTGCTATACATGTATATCATATCATCTAGTGCTGATAGTTGTTGATATTAATACCATCAGGACCGATCTGAACTTGATCTGAATTTGCGTAATCCAAGACATAAAGTGTCAGGTGTTACGGCCTGGAGTAAGTTTGAGTTCTACAGTAAAAGACATATTTATCTCAGAGATCAGTCATGGTCGAACAGGTCCATCCAACCTCATTATTTCACTTTCCTGTCTTGTCTAGCTCGCTCTTTGATGTGGTCGTCATGAAAGCCTTGCCAGCAAGGTTTTCATTGACGGAAATTAATTTTTCAACTGCAAAGGATTCCGTCAGCGTCGTCATATTTCTTCATAGTTGAAAGACAAGGACAAGATCGCTGATTATGTCAATATGTGAAAAATCCTCAGTCTACAAAACTGGCTCTTATCGGGCCGTTGGCCTAGATCACCCAGCGGGTGACTTTATCTACCGACTTGTGACAGGAAAAATACAAGGTGATGCTAAAACATGGGCGATGAAACAGATAGAGCAATGGTCATTAGCAGTTAGAGCATTCACATGGTGAACTCCTCCATAGCTATGCTGAAGTTACAAATATGGCCCTGGAAGGTTCAAGGACAAAGGGCACATGTGGTAACAGGAATACTACCACTGCTAACTGCAATGTTGTACATGTGCTGGTCATGCCCTGTTTGTCACTCCCTGGGACGCCCTTGACTCTGCCAAGCTGTTATCAAACAGTTTCGATTTTGTCCCTCTGCTAATCCTTAGCCTCGTTTCTGCCGTTGTAATTTGAGCAGCCATGAATATCAGACCACATCTAATCCGTGTATCATATATACAGGTTGCAGGAACTTGTGCTTAGTTATGGAGATGATATACATATCTAGCACCATCATAGCTACCTCTAGCTCTATTTCCTTATTTTGTTTTCACGAGATTGTTGGATATTCTTAATCTATTCCTGAATACTTGCCAGCAGTAGACTTCTACAATGTACAGTATATGCCATCCAGTGCTTCAATAGGGAACGACAGGAGGTTTCTGGCAGTATATAATTTATACTCCTAGGTTTTCTGCTTGAGAAAATATGTTTTACAAAGACACAAGCTCCAATGTTTTCTCCATCTTGCTCCTCTTTCAACCCCTTTCTCCACGCTGACCCCAGGAACTCTTCCCACCCCAGTAATCCTGAATGGGTCATTGGAGCCCCTTGTAACCTGGATGGGTTGAAATCAGCATGGGAAATCTTGTATCCTTCCTGGACGTTTCGTTTATGTCTCACCTACATCTTCCATTAGTAACCCTAAACTCAATTTATGGCAATCTTAGTTGAGGAAAATGAATCAGTCGGGCGGTTCCCATGTTCATCTGGTCGCTTGGGTTGGTGTGTATGGACAGCAGATGTCTCACGTATGCAGCAACATCAAAGCAGTCTCAGGAAACTGCCGGGAATGTTAGACCGGCAACGGCAAGAATAGGGAGTCATGTAGCAGCAGACCCCGCCGCATTGTTACCTTTGTGTCCGCTGCATTCAGCAGCCCAGCAGCGGCTTGCCATTTATTGGCAAATCCCTGTATTTGTTTTGTGCGGACCCTGGGCAGCGTATGGCAGGCGGCACAGATTCATGCCCCCAGGCAATGGCTTCTCCACCCGGGGAGGCTGGGACCCAGATTATTACTGTATACAGAGATTGAGCATGGCTTTATAATGGATACTGGAGCACTCTCATGAGTTTTCGGACTCCTTTCTGGGGCTTAATCAAAATGGCAGCATGAAGCAGCCAGACTGTGCAAACATGACCCCCTCTCCACTCCATCCCTGGGAGGTAGAGATTTCGGTGGATCAGCAACTAAAAAGGACCAGCTTTATGCAAAACATATCAGCCTCTTAAAGTGTGATATTTCCACCTTTCGCTGCTTCAGCTTTCACGTCAAGGAAGAAAGCTGCAGTGCACGTATTATATCCATAGCAACTGCATCCAGTCTTGCTTCAAGTTAAGCTTAAAGACACATATGACTGGCATAGCCTCTTGAAGTGTGATCGTGATACTTCTACCATTTGCTGCTGCAGCTTTCACGTCAAGGAAGAATGCTGCAGTGCACTTATTGTATCCATAGCAACTGCATCCAGTCTTGCTTCAGGTTAAAGAAACGTGACTGGCACAGCCGGCCACTTGAAGTGCGATATTTCTACCATTTGGTGCTTCAAATTTCACGTCATGCTTCAAATTTCACGTCAAGGAGGAAAGCTGTGGTGCACGTATCGTATCCATAGTAACCACATCCATACTAGTCCTGCTTCAACAGTTTTAAAGAAAGATTGTTGGCACAGTGACTACAAAGGCTTGCCCACAAAAGAACTTGCAATAGTGAACAAAATGGCTTGCGCACAAAAGAACTTGCAATAGTGAACAAAATGGCTGCCCGAGTCCTTTAGAGTAAAGAGACACATGCCTAAACAGTTGGTCTTAATTATTTCTCTAGAGAATCAGACAACTGTTCAGACCACAATAGAGTAGCAGTTAGCAGTACTGACGAGAGGTGAAAGGCCCCTACACTGTGGAGTCTGCCAAAGAAAAGGTACTAGACTTCGGAATTACAGGCTTTGATAAGGAAGATCTGGGAATAAACTTTGCCCCCTTGCATGGATATCAGTTGCAGACAGGATGGAGACTTGTGTTTATGGGAGGGACTAGCCATGCCCTTCCATACTGCCAAAGGTGATTCAACATATTTGGCCGATGATTTTCCCAGTCTGCGGATGCATCAATCAGAGCATCTTACAAGCAAGAAAGATGCAAGGAACCGTACATTTTTTTCATCCTATTGCTCTGGGTCTCGTAGTACAGACAGAATAACAGGAACAACTAGGATGCCACCATTCCCAGAAGTACTACACATTCTAGACATATCTGGGTGCCAGCGGATGCCTTGTGTATATCTGAGACCAGCTGTTTTACTTTGCTAGACACACAGAGCACACTGGGTAATAGGCCAACGTCCGTCTCTGACATCATATCTTGTCAGCGGCTCAGCGAGGATGTTCGAACAACCTTGGCAGAAGGCAGATAAGCTGAGTTGTCAGGAAACAACATATTAAACATGTATATACCAATCAAGGATTTCAACCTTTGGCATACTAGATGTGTATCACCACTTACTTTGCTGAATCATGGAGTAGAACAGAGCCAAAGTGGAAATTTAATCTTCAGAGTCTAGCTACCAGAAATCTTCAATAAGGTGTAAGTTGTAAACATTGAATCAA